AAAAAAAACCTAGCTACGTGTACTGTGCTAGACTAACTGAGTCATGGCACTTGTATACTGTTGTTCTCTCGTTGGTCTGATTGCTTCTATTGTTCTCATTTGTAAGTCGCTTTGGATAAAAGCGTCTGCTAAATGATTAAATGTAAATCAGATCAAATGATACGATCCATAGATCCAGGCAAAGCCACAGGCTTCTGAGTCAAATCTGTTGATGATGATTAAAATATTAAATCTGCTGATTAACATTATTATTCCTGATCTCTCATCTGCTCAGTGTCCTTAAAAAGCACATTTTTGCTTTGTGATGTTTGGAGCTGTGACTCTATAATGAAGACGACTGAAATCCTGCTGATTTCCATTTAATTCCTTTGAGCAAAAAACAGCTGTTTGTCTTATTAATGACACTGTTATTCACAATATGAGACACACAGACACACAACTACTACTGTACCATATCTCACACACACACACACACACACACACACACACTCACACACACACACACACACACACACACACTCACACACACACACACACACACACACAGGTTTGTTTTTGTGAAAAGTGGGGACATCCCATAGGCGAAATGGTTTTTCTACTGTAGAGGCCGTATATTCTATTGCCCTACACCAACCCTACCCCTAAACCTACCCCTCACAGGAAACTTTGTGCTATTTCAGATTTTCAATACACTCCATTCTGTGTGACTTATATACGTTTTGAAAAGTGGGGACATGGGGTAATGTCCTGAAAAGTCACCTTCTCCTTGTAATATGTCATACATACCCTTGTCATTATACAAATTTATGCCTTTGTTACAAAAACGCACACGCACACACACTCACACACACACACACACACACAGAGCGGCGGATGATCTGATGATTTTGGAAGCACACAAACAGTGTTTATTACTTCATCAGATATGAACAGATAAAGACGGCTCAATAAATATCTTGTGTTATCTGCTGATGCTGATGAGTTATTCCTGTGTGTGGTTATGAATGTCTTACACCTTTGTTCCAGTTTCTGCTTCTGTGATGTGCGTCCTGATGAAGAGACGATGAATGATAAACGCAGATAAACACAGTCGTAATGTTTTATGGCTCTTTTCACAGATATGATAAAACCCTTTGTGTGTGACTGAGCTTATGAAACCCACGAAAGTGTTTCTCGTGACCTTTACAGCTGAGGTCAGAGACAGACAAACAGCGCTCTGAGCGAGAGGCTGGGTCTGCTGTTAATGTGAGGCGATACGTGACTGAGTTCCTGCTCTCAGCGGGCTCAAGGGTCCTGCAGTGTTGATTTTGTTGGCACATTATTAATACAGCGGGCCAACGGGAGCAAGTCACTGCCATTCACACGTTACACAACACACAGAGGACAAGAAACCACACAATCACACTGAGTCCAACCTTCGACGCCACATGAGAACATACTGCAAATATCTCCACCTACTTTACAGTGTTTTCATCTGCTTGCACACTAAATCTTTACGTGTCACACAGTTTCTGAAAGCTGACACTCAAACAGCAGAAGCACACACCAAATCTACAAAACCTTACACTAATACTCAGACTTTGACTCAGTTTTCAATTTCATAAAACACTTTTTGCACAACACAACACACAGTTCTCTATGTAACACACACAAATCTAACAGGAAGTACCTTGATTTCCTTTTTCAAACACAACCAATCAGAAAGCCTCACTAATAACTCCTCACATGTGCTTCACTGAACTCCGGTGTTTTTCTTCATTTTGAGTTGTATTAATGAGAGGAATCTGCTCTTGTTTTTCATTGAATTGATGCTTTTCTGCATGATAACCTCCCTCACTTCCCCTGCAGCTGTGTTCATCATCATGAGAAATATGATCTATAGGAGCTTCTTGAGTGTGAATGAAGAATGTGGCAGACGCCTGCAGACGTGCATCAACACGAATCTCAGAAAGGTCTGGAAGTCTGTTAGTTCAGAAACACTGAGAAACGAGTCGATCAGATCATGTCAGAAACATAGCTGCAGAATCCAATGCAGGATTCATTCATATTCACTCACCTGATCCATCGTATCAGTGTTATTTCAGTGTGTCCTTATTTTTATAATAATTTCAGTTGACAATAATTTTAAGTAACATAAAAAAGGTTTTAGTTTCCTGCAAGAAGCCTGTGTTGGAGGTTCATTTCTTTAAGCGAATGCACATTTGAGAAACAAACGAATCTTTTAGTAGATTCATCTGATTCATCAACGATTCGGTTCCCTGAGAAAGCAAGAACTGATCACATGCAAGTCCCTTTGGAGAAAATGCAAGAATCAAGATCTGTAGTGTCAATTCATGCAGATGCACACAAAAAACAACATTTGGGAAACATTTTATTTACTTCAATGTTAAGACAAAAATGAATTTCCAGCTAAGATTCAGGTCCATTTTAAATAAAAGCTCCAGATTACAAATGCAGAGACCATATTTGTTCCACGAGACATCGATTACTGACGGCAAGATTCATAAACATAAGCTCTCTGGACGCGGAATAAAAGAGCGTGTGGAGACGGAGAGCAAGTGCTGAGTTCTGCTGGAGCTTTCACAGATTCTTCTCATAAATCCGTCCCGTAACGGCACAAAAGCGTGATTACACAGGAATGCTGGGAGAACGGCTGGACTAATGCGTCTATTCAGGCCACGATTAAGAGCCTTGAATTACCAGCGAGACCCTCTTCCCACTGTCCTTTGCCAATCTTAAAAAAAAGAGCTGGAGCAAGATTTAAACATCACTGCGGTTTCAATTTAATGTGTACATTTCCATCGAGCGCCGGCGTGCTTCCCTCGTCTCAGTTGTTCTCCTGTGAAACGGTGCTTTCCTGAAAGACAAAACGCCACAAAAGCCATCAAAAAGAGCACAATTACAGTCGTTTTCAACTGCTTACACACAAAATCTTTACTTGTCACACAATTTCTGAAAGCTGTCACTCAAACACCAATTCTATTCACCAATTCTATTCACCGATTCTCGGCCTTTGACTCAGTTTTCAATTTCCCACACACACAATTCTCTATGTAACACAAAAAAATCTAACAGAAATTACAGGTTTTTTTCCAACTGTTTGCACATATTTTAAAAACTTTACTTTTTTTTTTTTTATAACTTTACACACAAATCCAAAAACTGCACACAAAATGCAAAATGCCTCACATCTCTTGCAAAATGAAGCGCTGCATTCAAAATATCACAAACACATCTCAAAAGCAAACATTTGATTTTACATAATATTACTGTACTTCCTGTTAGATTTGTGTGTGTTACATAGAGAACTGTGTGTTGTGTTTTGCAAAAAGTGTTTTATGAAATTGAAAACTGAGTCAAAGGCTGAGTATTAGTGTAAGGTTTTGTAGATTTGGTGTGTGCTTCTGCTGTTTGAGTGTCAGGTTTCAGAAACTGTGTGACAAGTAAAGATTTTGTGTAACAGTTGAAAAAACTGTAATATTACGCCAAAGGTGTTTGCAAATGTTTGCTTTTGAGATGATATTTTGAACGCAGTGCTTCAGTTTGCAAGAGATGTGAGGCGTTTTGCATTTTGCGTGTGCAGGATTTGTGTGTGAAGTTTTGAAAAAAAGAGGCAAAGTTTTGAAAATGTGTGTAAGCAGTTGAATAAAACTGTAAGAGATAAAGACACAGTTGAAAGCAGACGAGCGGTTGGACGGCTCGTATCTTATCTTATCAAAGTACAGGCTGATGTTGAAATATTGTGTCCAGACAGCGCTTTGGTCAAGGTGAACTGCAGCAAGCTGTGAGTGAGGATAAGTGCGGTGTGTTGGGCCGATCCGGAGCACATGTAGAAGACGCTACATCACTGGAGCGCTGCAGGCTTTGTGTGCAGGGTGAGGAATGTTGGCTTCACTGAGAGAACATGCAGTTCTTTCTGACTGAGCGCAGCACAACATCACTGCATTACTGCGCTGACTAACACACCGATAACAGCTTTACTGCCTCTCTGCTGATCAACAAACATTAACTCCCAATAAAGAGCTCCAGAATTCATTCACATTCATCTGATCAGTTTCATTCATACTATTATAACTTTGGTTAATATTCTGAATTAGATTTTAGTTTTATGTTTTCTGCTTTCAGGTTAATTTTAGTTTTAATAATTTTGTTGTGTTTGTAATTTTTATTAGTCTATATGCTCTTTAGTAATTTTTATTGCAATTTTAGTTTTAGTGCATCAAATTAAACTAGGGCTGCAAAACTATTAATCGCGATTAATCGCATCCAAAATAAAAGTTTGTTTACATACTATATGTGTGTGTACTGTGTGTATTTATTTTGTTTATATAAATACACACACACACATATATATTAAGGAAAAATATGTTAGATTTATATATAAAATATTTAAATGTATATATAATATATACAAGTATTAATATATATATACATACAAATATTTTTTTTAATATATACATATATGTGTGTATATTTATATATACTAATGCTGTCAAACGATTAATCGCATCCAAAATAAAAGTTTTTGTTTATGTAATGTGTGTGAACTGTGTATATTTATTATGTACAGTATATATATAAATACAAACACATGCATGTATATATTTCAGAAAAATATATTATATTCCTATATTAAATATATAATATAAATTATACAAATATTAAATACATGTCACGGTTGCACTACTGAGTGGAGTGCGGAGCAAGGAACGGAGGGAGCCGAGGAGTATATCAATCCAGAGAATTTTAATTACGTCAAGGAAACACGGAAAACTCACGTAGCACAGGTTGACATGAACAATACCGGACGCTGAAGTAAAAACAGGGAACACTATTTAAACACATGACAAGACGAGGGGATGACGAGACAAACCTGGGATCAATGGAAATAAACGAGGAACACCTGGAATGAAATCAACATAATCAGGACAGGAACAGGAAACTAACCAAATATGGTACCCTTCCCTAAAAAATACTTGGGGACACTTACGGGCTCCGAGGCCCTCCATGGGCCATGACAGGGGACTGGAGCCCTCCCCGAGCTTAACTGGGGATCTGGAGCCCTCCCCGGGCTCAACTGGGTATCTGGAGCCCTCCCCGGGCTCAACTGGGTATCTGGACCCCCTCCGGGCTCAACGGGGGATCTGGAGCCCTCCCGGGCTCAATGGGGGATCTGGAGCCCTCCCCGGGCTCAACTGGGGATCTGGAGCCCTCCCCGGGATCAACGGGGGATCTGGAGCCCTTCTTGGGCTTAACGGGGGATCTGGAGCCCTCCCCGGGCTCAACTGGGGAACTGTGAAGTGCTTTCGAGGAGCTGGCACTGGAGCCAACTCCGGGGCTGGAGCCGACACTCGAGCGAGCTCTGAGGCTGGAGCCGACACTCGAGCGAGCTCTGGGGCTGGAGCCGACACTCGAGCGAGCTCTGAAGCTAGGATGAAGGCAGAGAACAGTCCTTTTCTCCTCCTCCTCCTCCTTTGGTTACGGGGGAACTGGGCAGCCAGCGGGCTTGTCGTTGCGTTGACCGGTGGGCTTGCGTCAATGTCTTGACAAAGGCGCGGCCGGCAGGCCTATCTTCGGAGCGGCTGGCGGGCTTGAGTGAGCCACGGCCGGCGGGCAGGAGAGAGCCGCCGCCGGCGGGCTTGACTTGGGAACGGCCGGGGGGGTGGGGGATTTCGGAGCGGCTGGCGGGCTTGAGTGAGCCACGGCCGGCGGGCAGGAGAGAGCCGCCGCCGGCGGGCTTGACTTGGGAACGGCCGGCGGGCTGGAGGATGCCAGAGCTGGTGGGCTGGTTCTGGCTCGGGGCCGGACGCTCTCCAGACACCGGAGGATTCCTTCCCTCTAGCTTAGTCCCGTGGTGTCTGGGAGGTCCACGGGGCGATGGTAATTGGCCCCGTGCCAGAACAGCGAGTTGAGGGTGGAGTCACCCAAGGCCGTAGCCACGGCAAGCCTGCAGAACTCCCAGGAATACTCAACGAAGGGGAGATCCATGTGAGCTAAGGCGGCGAACCGAGCGGCAATTTCCATAGCCGAGGGGAAAACAAGGAAAACAAAAAAACTTTCAAAATGGGGGAAAAAAACGGGGAGAAGGGGTGCCACTTACTATTTTGTCTGGTCCGGTATTCTGTCACAGTTGCACTACTGAGTGGAGTGCGGAGCAAGGAACGGAGGGAGACGAGGAGTACATCAATCCAGAGAATTTTAATTACGTCAAGGAAACACGGAAAACTCACAAAGCACAGGTTGACATGAACAATACCGGACGCTGATCTAAAAACAGGGAACACTATTTAAACACATGACAAGACGAGGGGATGACGAGACAAACCTGGGATCAATGGAAATAAACAGGGAACACCTGGAATTAAATCAACATAATCAGGACAGGAACAGGAAACTAACCAACTATGGACATAAACACTGGGACACAGGGAGCACATGGGGAACAAAACACAACACAGGCCTGACAATATATACATGTAAATACTTTCAAAATATACCCTTTGTCACGGGTTGCTACTGTGAGGAGCACGGAGCGAGGAACGAGGAGACCAGGAGTACAAAACAAAGGAGTTTAATTATTTTTTTCAGGGAATCACACGTAGCACAAGGAGTTGACAAACACACGTGACAGATTGCCCCCCTCCAGGACGGCGCATCCTGCGCCGTAACCGTACCATCGGTGAGGGGGTGCGGGCCCCGGGAGGCTGGTGCAGGACTGGAACAGGCCGGAGACAAGGAGAGCTTCCAGGGCAGATCAGGGAGCCATGGCGGAGCAGGCAGCTCAGGTTGCCATGGTGGATCTGGAGACTCGGGAGGCCATGGCGGAGCAGGGGACTCAGGAGGCCACGACGGAGCCTCCGTGGCCTTGGCTGGCTCGGCCACGGGGATATGGCCCCCCCCAAAAAAATTTTCTTGGGGAAAACTAGGAATCCTGGGGGGCACTCTGGAGGAGCGGGCACTTGAGGGCGCTCTGGACGGGATTCAGGGACTGGAGCCCTCCTTGGGATAAACATGGGGACAGGAGCCCTCACTGGGCTAACCTCGGGAATGGGAGCCCTCCGAGGGAACAGTTTAAGAATTCCTGAGTACGGTTTATAAACTGAGGGGACGGACTGCAAAACCGTCGGCACGGATTGTTTTTTTTTCTCCTACAGGTGACTTCCCGGGCTCCGTAGAAAGCTGAG